TTTTTAATAAGTATTCAATATAACGTCTATTTACAAACTGAAAAGAATTTGTTAATGCATTTCACTTTAATTTTCTAACTTTTTTGTCTTTCAAAAAGCATAATGATGTAGACTTTTAAACCAAAGAATTTGTGTTATATACTTAATATCATGCTAGGGAATTCTTTGATTGCCTAAGAGAATAGAAGACGAAACAACTAATTATTGGTTGTACTAATTAGCTAGGAAAATATCATCAATAAAGTTTCATAAATAATTTTTCAAAAGTTTTTATTATCAATTATAAGAAGAAGAAAAAATGAGTTTATATTTTGTACACTGTATAAAAAATATTTAAACAGTCGATTCATTTATTAGATAATTAATATATATATTGATAATTTCATGTAAATAACTTACTATCATAAATTATAATTCGTTGATAATATTATAAAAATTATACTAATATATAATTCATATATAATAAAATTTGGCACTTAGGAGTACTCTATTAAATATGGAGAACTATTACAAACGTGAGCCATGCATGCATGATCAAGAAGTCTTTTTAAATTTTTAAAAAGAGCTTAGTGCACATACTTTTTTGGAGTTGGACCAAAATAGTGATAGCTAGACGTAAGAGTTACCGACCATGGGATTAAGGTCGTGGTAGAATGAATATGATCTGATCTAGCTTCACTTTTAATTAGAGGTTTTGATTTTAAATTTTGGATGTGATTTTTTCAGTTTGAAGCATTCGAATTATAGAGGTCTCAATACTGATATCAAATATCGATGAGAATTAGCTAGATGCATGTAAGAGTTTTCTTATGGTTGTTTTCTTCTTCTTTTGTCTCTCTCGTTTTTCTCTTTACAACCATTTTATATCTTTCATTGATCTTTAATTTCTTTTTTTAGGTGTGTTTATCTAATTGATTGATTATAATTATTTTGGACAAACCTTTTGTGGTGAATGGTTCAATTCAAATGAATCTTCGGCCTAACTCAACCTAATTCAAATTAGCTCGAGTTCATAAATGGAAATCCTTGACCCCTTTCATCACCGATATTGTGGGATTATTTCCATTCATCACCCCCCCCCCTCCCGATTCTGTCCCTACAAGACATGGATTATCTAATCGATCAGAGGATTTGGCTCTGATATCATGATATCAAATGCAATTTACGCTTAACTCTACTCTAAATATTAGTTCAAGGGAGGAAAATTATCCAAATCTGTGTAGTATAGAAAAGTCTAGTAGGACCCTTTTCTTCTAAAATAGTGACTATATATTCTCAATCACTAACTAATACAAACAAAAATAATTTAGTTCATTATGTAATTATTGGTACTTTTTTCATCTCATTGATCCTTCACTTTCTTGACTCTATCTTTTCTTGTTAATTATTAGTTGCTCCTCTGATTGAGTAGTTTAGTAGCTTTTGCAATAAATGGTAAATGGTAACATTTGAATTATTGTTACTTTAATTATTTGTTTTCATGCTTAGGTAGTGCTTACTTATTAGTTATTTCATTCTCAACAAATTAAAGTATAGCTACTTTCTAAAAAATAAATCCTTTTTACAGTCAAAAGGTAGTCTTGCCAATTCAATTGTGTCAAATCGTTAACTGATGATATAGTACTATGGTGGATATTTTAATGGATGAACATATATGGAGACATCTGAATTTGACACGAAATTTCATTTAGATATTCCAACTAAGTCTCATACGTATTTATTGAACATATTTAGTATCGCCAAAGGATCCTACGTCTTAGAATACTTATCGTGTTTTCATTTACATACTCCTTTAAAAATTATTAGTATAGCCAAATTAAAGGATCCTACATCTTAAATCATTAGTTGTTTTCTAAGTTGGTTTTGCTCTCAACGTTGTAGCTTCTGACGGTGGATGGAAACAAGAGAGGTCAATTGGAGTAGAAGTTAAAAGGCGGAGTTGAGAATCTATGATTAATTCGAAGAATTACTCCCAGATACCATTGTATTTCCCCTTCGTACTACCATGAGATTCTTGTTTGATGTATGACTGTTTTACCTTTATTTATGTCTTATGATATAATCTGTCTTCATTGAGTATATATTTATTTTATTTATGTATCGTAATTTAGATGTTTGTAATCTTCAAAATAATTACTAGTGAGGGTCGCAAACTAAATGAGAAAAAAAATAATTAATTTTGTCTTAAACTTTTAAAATGATAAATATTTGAGAAATTAAATGTTTCTATTAAAGACAAACAAGTATTTTTGAGACGAAGGATGTACTATGGATCGTTTGGTGTGAGAAATAAGAATAAATAGTCCTGGGATAAAAATTTAGTGTCTTGTTTGGTTGTCATGTTTGAGATAACTTATCTCATCATTTATACCATAGTGATGGGATAAATTATCTCAGGATAATTAACCCTGAGATAATATCTTTTTTGGTTACATTTTCTTTCTCTTCTCCACAAATAATGACATATATGTATACATGAAACATGTCAAATCGACCTATTTCAAATGGACGTACTTTTCATCTTCTAGTTTTCTCGATTTCTTTTTTCTTCTTCTTGTTTAATTTCTTCAAGAAAGTTTGTTTGTTTTTTCCCAAAGAATTACGTATAGCTTAAAAGCTAGCAACAATTTTTAAAAAAATATTAAAGAATCAAAGTACCTAAAATTATTATTCCAAACCTTTCTCTTGATACTTACGTGCACAATGTAAAATGATGGAAGTACAACTATTATTCATTATGTGTGAAAATTATATATTATGTAGTACAAATTTTGGGACCAAAACATATGATATGTAGCTTTCTTATCTACAAATAATATGAATATAAATTAAAAAACTTAGGTAGGGTTGTGTTTTAATTATTTTCTCTTTTATCAGGTGGGTATTTGTCCTCTTTTTGACTTTGATTTTCTTAATATCCATACATTTTCCTTCTTTTGGTATTTTTGTGATCACCATCTTATTCTAAAAAGGATGATTTTGACATAATCAAGATTAACATGAATATTCATGCTTAGCCCTTAGGTATATCTTTCTTCAACTTTTTAAAACTTTGCATTATTAAGAGTAATAATATCCCTTTTGGATGATTGTTTCTCTTTTCTTTCACAAAGATGTGTGTTATTTATTAATCCTTATGTGAAAGTGTTTGAACGATAATATTGTGTCAAAAATAACTGAGTGAATCATTTTTGAACAGGTCGTGTGATTTTACCACACTTAAGTCGCACATGCATGACTATTTTGCGTCATAATACTATACTTGATATATTCCAAACTTACCTTATAGTGTTAAATAGGACTCAATCTAGGGACATTAATTACTAAATGAATAACAAAATGTGACTTCGATAACCCTTATTACATTACATGCGATGATATCTCAATAATTTTTGAAAATGCTCCTTTAATTTCGAGCTTAGTAAATTATTATAAGTCCATTCTTGTGTTCTCTCTTAGATAAGTCAATTTCATTTTTTTCTATAGTATATCTGTTATGATATTACTATCGTACCGAGTAAACAAATTATAATTCATGGATAGAATTGTTTTCCAGAGGTAGAAAAGGAAATATAGAGAATAGTTGGTTGAGAAGAAACGAAAACTTTCACTTTCTTCATCTTTTGATTTAATCCATAATAATATATACTATATAATAAGTTATATATCTCTTTCTTATCTCTTTTAATTAGATGTGTAGACCACACACTTACGTATAACACATAGAATTTAAGTAATTTTCATGCCCCTCCTATATACGCAAAGGCCAGTGCCACCAAATTGGCCCCCCTAATTGGATTTCTCTCACCCTCTGTTTTAATTTATGTGTCTCGTTCCTTTACTTTTAGTCTGTTTAAAATTTATTATTTTTTATTTAAAAATTGTTGAACTTTTAAACTTTTCATTTTACTTGTTTCTAGTATTTTGTAAATAATTAGTAGAACATCATATTTGACGGTAGAGGCGATGAGGGTGGGGGTGGAGGATAAGGAATCGGGGGGTGGGGGTGGGGTGGGGGGGGGGGGGTTTATGACAGAGTTTTGCATGAAATAATACTTGTGGAACTTAGCACTTTTAATAAGTTAATATATAATCATAAAAATATTTATGATTTATTTTAGATAATAAATTATAAAAGTTTTTTTTAATATTAAACTATGTACTTGATCAGATCAAATATCATTACATAAATAAGAGCGGATAAAATATTCCTCGTTATTCCGATAGGATATTACGTTGTCTTTCCAAGTTTATACAATCATAGAATTCTATACACGTCATCCTAAAACTTGCCAATAATTGTCCTTTTAAAAAAAATTAAATTTTTTTTGCAAGTTTCTAAATTTCATGCACCAATTATTGATTCACAAAGTACATTATCTTTTCTATATAAGAAAAGGTTTTTACTCCTTTCGTATTCGTTCACTATTTAAAAAATAGATATTCACTTTTAACATATCAATAAGAGATAATTATTATTTTTCTTGTTTTACGTTACCCTCATTGATTCCTTCAGGCTTCAGATGTGTCAATTGGACAAATACGTCCATAGTAACTAGGATGGATATCTCGTATTCAAAAATTAGCAGGTGCGATTTGTCAGTCCTTACTTATTTCCCAAATCATTTTTCAAAATTTAAGACTATACATCAATTAATATGAATATTATAATTAAATATTTATTTCAATCATTATTTCTAATTAACATGAGAGCAAAATCCAAAATGAACAAGTAGCATAAAAGAATGTTTGGCAGAAAATAAGATCAATAATTGGCTACTATAGTGGGAAATACCTAATAAATAATCATATATTGCAACATGTGGTACACTTGCAATTGCAAATTGACCACAGTGACGTTTGGTTTTTTAAACATCTTTCCTTTTCTAGATTATTCAAAAATAATCTTTGTTTGGCAATTTCAACTAACCTAATACAATTATAGTATATACTTCCACATTGCTAGGGTAACGTATAGCTCAGAATTCAACAAGCTCTTCTAGTATAAATTGTGATCCGATATATATATTTGATCAATGCATAAAAAGCGAGTGGTTATAAAACTTCATGATTTTTCGACACGAAATTCCATATCACAAGAACAATCTCATTGTTATTTCATGAATGTAATTTTGACATTTCTAAATGTATTGTCAATAGCTAAGAAACCTTGACATATCTTATTGTGGTCTACAGAGCCAATGAAGTACTTACTTCTCGATAACTCGTTTAGCTCCATCCAATGTATTCTTCAGAAGCATTGCAACAGTCATTGGTCCAACGCCTCCCGGAACTGGAGTTATCCAGCCAGCCACCTTACATGCTTCCTGAAAATCGACATCTCCAACGAGCCTATAACCTGACTTCCTTGTAGGATCATCTACAGCATTTGTCCCAACATCAATTACTGTAGCACCAGGTTTGATCCAGCTGCCTTTGATCTGAAAAAATAAGGCAGCAAATCCGTTTAGAAGCCAGCCATCGAATGACCGATAAGAGCAACATTCTCCCAGAAAAGTTCTAATACTCCCTCCGTCTCAATTTGTTTGTCTTACTTTCATGTTTAGTACTCTTTAGTTTCAACTTTCCACATGGCTTGTTTAAGACTAGAAGATTAAAGGGCAGTTTGGTACATTCTACATATCGTCCTTTTTTAAATTCCGTGTCATGTCAAAATCAAACAAACAAATTGAAACAGAGGGAGTAATATTAATTGGGAAAGCTCTATCGCAAGGGTATAGGAAACAAAAACTAATGAATTGAGAAAAATGATATGAAAAGGAGGGGTTTCTGGGAGGTAAGAAATGGATGGTAGCAATTACCATCATAGCCTGCCCTGCGGCAGCAATGATAATGTCTGCTTCACGAATGATTTTCTCTGGTTCCTTGGTGCGCGAATGGACTACAGTAACAGTGGCATCTTCCTTCAGAAGGAGGAGAGATACTGGTAATCCAACAATGTTGCTTCGACCAACCACAACTGCGTTCTTCCCCTTTATGCTAATCCCACTTCGAACTAAAAGCTCAATGCATCCCTGTTTAACAGAGACCAGATAGGAGTGATTTTATAAGACAACAGAAGATGGTTGTATAATAGTATAGATTTGAACATAAATTCTTAGTAAGGCAAAAGAACTGGAGAACTGTATGTTTCAATCTTCCATTTCTTAGAATCAATGAAGTTTATGTTATTACCCTGGGCGTGCAAGGGTTGAACAAAGGTTGTCTGCCTTTCATTGCAAGCTTGCCGATATTCAGAGGATGAAAGCCATCTACATCCTTTTCCAGACTGATTTCACATAGAACTTTCTCTTCACTAATATGTTTTGGTAACGGAAGCTGTACCAGTATACCTGTAGCAATGCCACAAAGTGCCTTCAGTTGACTTGCCTTAGTTATGCATCACAATATTCCACCCTATACACTTGAAGGTCAACGATATACTTGCAGAACATAACTAATAAACCAGAACTGAAATGATTACTTGAGGAAAAAGAGAAAAAGAAAAGAAAGGAAAAACATCTACCAGTAGTGACACAAAACTCACAAAAACGCCACCAGCTGAGAATGAGAACATAAGAGATTCTAACCACCCAATTTAAAAAGTCATGCTAGAGGTGATCTATATACAGTAGCAGCAAAACACCCATATGTATAGTATGGAACTACAAAAGCCAAAAAGAAATGCAGGAATGAGATTTAAGATGGGTGCCGCGTGGAACCTATCAGAGACAACATATTAGATGAGAGATCTAATATGAAGATGTTCGTAATGTGTCAAATACACTTTATTAAACCAACTGAAGTAGTGCACATTTAGTACAACAACATGAAGCAATATACAGGTTGCATGCATAATAGTGGGTTAATATAGATGCCACTATGTTGCCAAGAATTAACGCCATTGATTTTATCTAACAGAGCAATTTCATATCAGAATATTTTGCATTGAGCCTACAATAGCTAGGACCTTGTGATTTTCTTTTGAACTAACTACACAGGACAATGTTGGCTAAAAAAACTTGGTAGTTCAAAATAAAAGTATAGCATGGATTAACAAAAAGGATGTTGGCTTATCATGATTTTGCACCAGAGATTTTGATTTTGCACAAAATTTCATTTCCTTGCTGCTGATCATAAGTTGGGAGTAATATTAGATTGCTAATGGATCGTAAGGATACTTCAGAGTTCCAAAGTGGGAGTGGGATGTGTTCTTGTAGACGCATCTAACCCTAGTTTACCACTAACTTTACTTTAGCCCGGAAGTCAGGTTGACTGTTCTTTTTCAATTGAGACTTGGTTCAAATATAAGTTTTTGTACCAGCTATTAGCTTTCCCAGATTCCGTTATGTGGGGTTTACTGTGAACCCTCAGTTAAGTACATTCAAGAATCTAGGCAAATCCATCGCAGTTGGTGGAGCTGGAGTTGGAGGTGGTTATTGTGCTGATACCACCTTACGGCATGATTCAATAGGCTCTTCAGTTCTGTCCATCCCTCCCCCAAAAGGAATCAAACGAAAATGGAGTTCAATTGGTGGATCTAACGATCAGTCAATTGGTTCATCTTTGTGTCTACGTTTAGGACATTCATCAAATTCCTCAGATAGCAAGGGGAGCTCAAGCGCTGCATGCACTTCAATGTCTTCAGCAAGAGAAAATGATGAAGAGTCCTCAATGGACCTGGACTTTAGTCTCCATCTTGGTAGTGAGAAGACTTCAAGCTCTAGAAAGTCTGCTCATCCTGAGTCCAAAAAACTTGCCAAAGGTCTTGCAGTTGATCTGGAACTAAGTCTATCCAGTGGTGCTGCTGAATCTGATGTCACTACTGTGCATTTGCTCTCCACTTCACCACAAAGTATCATGAAGGCGCCGCAGGCAATGGCTGGAGCTTTTCACACTGAAGAAGGATCAACAGCTATACATTGGAAGACTAGCAACATTTTCCATCCATTACGAACTCCTCAGGAAACTGGGTCTAATTACTTATTGAACCAGGCTGCAACACAAATCAAGCAAGCTACAGTCTCCCCCGATCTGTCGTCAAGTATAATCACAAATTCAAAGAGCTCAGTCACCTGTACTTCCGGGTTAACAAAACAGCAGCAACAACAACAGCAGCGTAGCAGTACTAAACAGTGTCAGTTCAAGGGATGCGTAAAAGGAGCAAGAGGTGCTTCTGCCCTTTGCATTGCCACGGTGGGGGCCGCAAGTGTAAGAAACCAGGCTGCCACAAGGGAGCCGAGGGTTGGACTGCATTTTGCAAAGCCCGTGGGGGTGGTCGTCGGTGTGAATTCCTAGGTTGTACAGAGAGCGCGGAAGGACGCACGGACTTTTGCATTGCACATGGGGGTGGATGCCATTGCAGTCAAGAAGGATGCAGCTGTGCTGCCAAAGGGAAGTTTGGATTATGCATTCGGAATGGTGGGGGCAAGAGATGCCAGCAAGAGGGCTGCACCAAAAGTGCAGAAGGACTCTCTGGCCTTTGCATTTCACATGGAGGTGGCCGGCACTGTCAGTACCCCAAATGTACTAAAGGAGCGCAAGGAAGTACCATGTTTTGCAAGGCACAGGGTGATGGTAAGCGTTGTACCTTTGAAGGGTGCAATAAGGGGACATAGGGGAGCACAGCTTTCTGTAAGGGTCATGGTGGTGGGAAGAGATGTTCATTCCAAGAAAATGGGCTCTACCCGAAGGGTGTTCATGGGGGCACACTCTTCTGTGTGGCCCATGGTGGTGGCAAGACGTGTGCTGTGCCAGAGTGTACCAGGAGAGCAAGGGGAAGAACTGATTTTTGTGTACGTCATGGTGGTGGAAAAAGTGCTCAGGGAAGCACCGATTTCTGCAAAGCCCACGGCGGAGGGAAGACTGAAGAGATGCTCTTGGGGTCAGCCTGAGTCTGAATTTGGGCAAGGTGATGGTCCTTGTAACTCATTTGCTAGAGGGAAGACTGGACTTTGTGCATCTCATGGTGCTCTCGTTCAAGACAAACGCGTTCATGGTGGTGCCACTCTTGGGGCTATGGTCCTGGATCTAGCGTCAAACCAGCCTGAGAAGATGAAGGAGATTGTCAACGTGGAAGACATCTGTTTTGATGTCAGAAAAATGCAGGGTAGTGGTATGACATCCGGCGATGACTCTCACATGAAATATCTTGGATTTAACCAGCCCAATATTCCAGTCGCAGGCAGCTCATCATCAGTTTCTGAAGGAAGGGTGCATGGAGGAGGTTTGATGGCATTGCTAGCAGGTGGTTCTGGTTGTACCTCAAACACCAGCAAGGGACCAGTTCCTGCATCTGAGCCAGGGAATTCTTACGTAGTCTCTAAGAACTGGATGTTAGATGTATAGCCACTCTATTTCTCAATTTGGTTTGTAGGTCTGCAGCGTTCCACCGCTATGTTTGTGTCCTTTTCATTTTAGTTTCTTCACTCTTTCTTATGTTATATGGGTTTGAACTGGAAGTTGTTACTGCTAAATGTATCTGTACCAATAAGGGGAGAAACCCCACTATGGTCATTGGTATTTGTACATAGCTTTTTTTCATGTAACATTTGGTCTTGTGAGTATTTCGTTCAAGTATAAAAAAAAAAAACACCTGCGATATGTCCAATCCAAATACAGACCAACAAGGCTAAATTTGGCCACTGATAAAACAGAAGTATAACAAAGGAAAATGCAAGAATATTAACTTCATATTATCGCAAAAGACTAACCATGTACATCAGGATTAGCATTTAGCTCATGGACCTTGCTAATCACCTCAGCTTCAGCTACATCCTCTGGGAGGTCTATATCAAAAGACTTAATGCAAAGCTCAGCACAAGATTTTCTCTTCATATTCACGTAACTTTGTGAATCCTTCCTATTTCCCACAATGACAACTGCCAACCCAGGGACCTGAAAATAACAAAAACTTGGATAGTTGAATACTGCATGACCATGAAAAATACAATTTCTGATGAAGGACAGTGCTTCACTAGCTTCAGACTTCAAATACATCATATACACACATTTAAGTATGCACATACTCTTTCAATTATCTTCATCAAATGCACTAGTAATTACCAGATAAATACAGAAATTTATGTACATGGACTCACTTATGCACACAGATACACTTGCCAAGAAAACTAACCTTGCCATACTTTTCTGAAAGACGTTGGACTTCAGAAGCAATCTCAGAACGAATAGTTTGAGCAATTGCTTTACCATCAATGATGGTAGCCTTGTGATCTGATGGCGATGCCATTGTATCTTCAGACGAGAGATAAATTGCCTACAACTTCACGACTGTTAGTTTCATGCCAGAAAAAAGTTCAACCAAAAAGTCAGCCTAGGATAACTGAATAAGAGTAGGCATATTCAAAGTCAAGGTTCTACTACATAATGCAGTACCCAATCCATAACATATAAAGCAGCAACGAATTTACTTTTGCTATCACTATATTTTAAAGTGTATAGGGATCACGGGGAGCCGAACAATCAAATTCAACATAATAACATCTAAAGTTTCATCACCTCAGCAAAGCATAGTTCGTAGAGATGAAAGGTGCAAAAATCACAAGTTATTATGGCAGGTACAATTTGAAGAAAAACAGGACTTTTCACCACACTGCTGTATAACTTTAGGTTATGTTACTCAAGCCGAGCTCTCTACCTCTCAGGAGGTAAGGGTAAGGGTCTACGTACACTCTACCCTTCCCAGAGGCCAGAGCCCACCTTTGGGATTACACTAGGTATGTTGTTGTTGCTGTGTAACTTTAGGTTGAATTAGAAACTTCAACAATTAAGGTCATTTCAAGGTTTCAAATGTTTTGTATACGTTGTTCGTAGTTGGTTCATTCAGCTCCAGAAACCAATGAGGTTTTTATAGTTATCTTAAATGTCCTCATAAAGTAGAAAAAAAATTCTGTAGCATTTCCATTTGAATTATTCATATGCATTCATCTCGTCGAAAAAATATGCTAAACTCAGTACATACATTTAGTTTCAGTACTAGATTGCCACTTTCACAATACCATTGCTAAAAAAAGTGTTAACGGGTAGTGTATTTTTGGAGAATCTGACACGAATCCATGTAACATGCATACAATTCAAAGTTTTATTCCAAAAAATTCAAAATCTTTTCCAGTCCTTATATGCACAAGGTAATGAACATGAAATGGAAAATACCGAAATAAAGTTAAAAAGAGTATAAATACGAGTAATTAATTATGAAATAATTCTAGTACACAACATATAAAATTGAAAAAATGACTATATTTATACTTGAACAATCCTTCTACTTTATCAGATTCAGTACTTGTATGCAATTTAATCAGAAAAAAATGGGGAAAAATTCAATCTTTAGCCATCAAAGAAACATTGAAACTTACGGAAAGAAAATCTTCAAAGTTTAGCCGATAAATCGGCCTTCAGATCTGTAAGAAATACAGCAAAAAATTGGAGCTGAAGAAGGAGAGTTGGTGAGACGAAGGGTACCCAAGTGGGAACTATGAAAATATGCTTTTGTTCATTAATATGTGGAAAAATATTTATTTTTATTTTTATGCCCAATGTGAAAAACATTAAAATTACCAAAAGTAGAATTTTCTTCTTTTATTGAATTTGAGGACAATTAGTAGCGTATTTCTCAAAGTAGAATTAATTATATTACATCCCTTAGGATGTGGTCCTTCTTCGACTCTAGTATGAACATAGTAATACTTTTTAAAAAAATCAAAGACTTTAACTCCATTATAAATGGATGAACAGTCTTATAAGGTTGTGGCCACGGATGATAAGTATTTCTCCATGTTTTAGTCGATCCCAAGGAGGAAGGGGGTTTATCGAAATTCCCTTTTGTTGAAAAATCACATTGTATAAACAAGATCAGTCTTTTTTATAGATATAGTAGACGCCCGTGAAAATCCTACTTTCACCACTGATCGAACCACTAAAAAGGTATCGAATCGAACAAAGAAAAAAGAAAAAAAAAGAGTTTTATCATTGTTTGAGTTGATAGTCCACTGGAAATGCTTACACAATTCTTTTGTGATACTAGCTAAAATATAATTCACTGCTTCTAAAGTTAAAAGCATATCTATCCTTATTTTGCCTACAATATCATTTACAAGCATATCTAATCTTTCAAGTTTTTATCACTTCTTTTCTTGGTCCATCAATCTGAATTCTCATAAAGGAGACAACTTTCCAAGAAAATTTGCAACCCCATCTCATAAAAATCTGATCTTTTTCTAGTTTCATCTTAGTTTTCAGCTCAATTGTCAATTGTTCCATCAATCTTGAAGTACGATTTTTTTTTTTTTTTTTTTTTATAACCGAGAAATCCGTCTGTGTCCCGCCCTTTGGACCAATCACAGCCTTCTAAACTCGGTGGATAATGGGCCCGCCCCTCTACCCTTCTCCACTTAAATACCGGGCTTCGCTTTGCATGGTGTGGGGCTTGAAAAAAAAATCTTAAGATTTTGTTAGGGGAAATGAGGGAAGAAGATTCCAATTGGTTTGCTAAATGGGAAGAAGAATTGCCTTCTCCAAAGGAACTAATGCCTTTATCCCAAACCTTAATTACTCCTAATCTAGCTATAGCTTTTGATATTCAAAACCCCAATACCCCAAATCCCAAAATATCACCACTAGTTCATACTCTTTCATCAACCGAGTTCGAGTCGAACTTGGCTGAGTTGGGTGGCATGGCAGGTTCATCGGGGGTTGGTGATGAACCTGCTCGCACCCAAAAAAGGCCTAGGCTTGTGTGGACACCACAGCTACATAAAAGGTTTGTGGATGCAGTTGCACAATTGGGGATCAAGAATGCTGTTCCCAAGACTATAATGCAGTTGATGAGTGTAGATGGCTTAACTCATGAGAATGTTGCTAGTCATTTGCAGAAATATAGGCTTTATTTGAAACGTATGCAGGGTTTTTCTAATAGTGGTAGTGTTTACGGGGCAGGGGTGGATCCCGCAACAGATCATCTGTTTGCGAGTTCACCCTTGCCTGCTCATTTTTTGCATCCAGGGAGGGGAAATTCTGATCATTACATGCCATTTGTGCCAGTGGCTGCAGTTATTGGACATGCTCCACAACTTCAGCAGCAATATAGGCATTTCGGGTCACCGCCCAACAGGCAGTTTGAGGTTCCATTCTTGCCCCGGCAGTTGCAGCAGCCAGTTCAGAGAATGGGGACATCAGTGCATAGTAGTAGTTCTGTGTTGGAGTCAGCTACAGCTGCTAATGGGAAGAAGGTTCTTACTTTGTTTCCAAATGGGGATGATTGACTGAAATTCACAAGAGTTGATTTCTCAGATGGTCACTCGTAATTTGTAACTTTTAACTTGTTAGGTCAATTTTGCTTATGGATATTTTTCGAATAATACTTTAGTCTTTGATTTAGAACCTTTTGTTTGGATAGGTGTTGTTTCTGTTTGTCCCTTATAAACTGTGAATTCACTTTCAAGTCCATTGTGTTTTCAAGAATTAGGATTTGTTGCTTAGTGTCAATGCTGAAATTTGTTCACTTAGATGAACTTCTACAAGTGTAATTATGTTATAGTTAGCACTGTGTTTCTCTTGTGTTGGCTACGAGTGACGAATAATGACCGAGAAGTCAACTAGCCTCAGGGTTAGCAGTAACAAAATCTGATATATTTCCGTGGTTGCATAAGAAGCACACATGGTTGAATGGTCTCGTTGTAGACTTAAACACTTCGTTGTGAATATCTCCGGAGAGAACAATGATTCTGGTGATAATGTTACTCCATTGTTTATGTCTCAACACCATAATTGATCATTTCTAGCTGCATTTTCTTAAATTTGGTTACTCCTTTCTTCTTTTGCCAAGTATAAGAAACAGTGAAACGAGTTTCCACTTCTGAAACTTGTCAATTAAAACGCGATTGTGTGAACTTGTATCAGATTTCTGCCACAAAATTGCAGGTAGTATCAACTTTTATGTATTCGAAGATCGTCTCAATCATTCAACATACTACAAGCTAGCTTATTAATGATATTGTAGGCAAAACAAGGATAGATATGCTTTTAACAATGGAAGCAGTGAGTTATATCACAGTGTAAGCATTTCCAGTGGACTATTAACTCAAATAATGACAAGACTCCTTTTTTCTTTTTTTTCTTTGTTTGATTTCCGATACCTTTTTCGTGGTTCGATCAGTGATGAAAGTAGTATTAACTCAACATACTACTATAGCAAAAAATCATCGATCACAGTAAAAATCATCAAATGCAATTCAAAAAACAATAGATCTGCGAACAGTAAACAGAAAACATACCTTCTGAATCGGAGAGAAAAGGCTGAAGAGATCTGAAAATTGATTGAACAGTGAAGTAGAACTACTCACTCGATCGAGAGAGTAGTAGAAAGAGTGAGAAGAGTAGAGGTAAGGGAATTGAAGCACACGAGAGAATTTTATATGAGCAAGAGGGAAAGATCAACGGCTGTAATTTAACCCTCCTTTCACATCTGGATCCCTATGATGAAAAATGAACGATCAAGATGAGATCTAAAATGGTGAGTTTTGATTTTATAGGTAAAATATATTAGTTGAGAGATATTTTAGTGACGATTATGTCCTTTGTAATGTGAAATTACTTGAATGTCCTCCCACAATCATCTTATTGTGTTAGGGAACAAATTATTCCGAGGTTAGTTATTTCTATATTGTTGGGGTTATCCTGAGGTTAATATGGGATAAATAACTCGCGGCTTTATCCTAACTAAATATGCGATAAATTTATCTTAAACTTAATCTCAAAAATAACCTCGTACCAAATAAGCGCTTGTTACTTTTCAAATTTGCTCCAACCGTGTTGGTTTTTTTCTGGTGTTCACACCATTTGATTAATTTTCAATATATATTTTTTTAAAAAAAATTATGTAAGAGCCACCATCTTTCTACCACTAAAAAAACATTTAAAATTTAAATATGAGGTGTCGAATTGAAATATTTTATTATTATGAGATATTGAGTTTAATTTTCATACCATTCCACTCTAACTAATATATAATAAAATAGATTTGAATTTTTGCAAATGAATAATGGGTTTCTTCTATTCTAGCTTGAAAGGCAAGTAAACTATACACTCATAAGTCATAACTACTCTCTTCAACTTAGATGATATAATTATGACTATGAGATTTGGAGGCAAAGTTAAATTTCTAGCTATGATTTTGATAGAATTGGATAGATTAAGTCAGTATTTTTAAAGACATCAAAATTTTATCAGACTTAAAATAGATTCTTACAAGACAGGTTCAATTCATGTTCTTAAAATTTATGGTTCGTTAGAGTTTTTTGGAGGTTGCTCCACTTTAAACTTTAGTTCATGAAAAATAACTTAAATATTTCATATATTCTTGAATATTCACAAAGAGATCAAAATTTGTAAAGTATTATCTTTCTCAAAATCGAAGAGATCACTGGAATGTTCTTATGAGATCAAGATCAATACTCAAAGTGATGTCGACGTTCCTAGAAATCAAATACATCTTAAAGAAATTCAAATTATCCTACGTTTGAAAAATACGTGTCTAAATCACAAAAATTCCTATGTTAGATCACTTTTGTTTTCCTCACATGATATGTTTGAAAACAATATATTTATATATAAGGATAAATAGATGGTACTCTCACTTGTTAGATCTCTATTGGTCATACATTCACAAGACATGGAACATGGTATTAAGCAAAGAGACAAATAAATCCCCTAATTAAGTACACCATATATATAAACTAGAAGGATGACGCCCGTGCACGCATGGGCCCAACGTGCCCAATATGTTATTAAAATGAGTAAATTATAATTAAGAATTCTGTCTACAATATTGGTATAATATTGTTACAATACGTGCAAAAATAATGCTAACTAAAATTCAATTGAAATTGAGATTACTGTCAATCCTCCTATTTTTGCAAAATGGAAATTTAAGCAAGTGTTTTCTGAACATATGTATAAAAATACCAAAGGTTGCACCAGTCAATACCGACCAGTTCAACTCTTTGTACATATTTCATTTACAATTGGCAAGCTTTACCATTTTTTTTTTTTATGAACATCAACTCCAACTTCTTGTAGTTCTTTTCCACCTTAAAGTTATAAGCACTCAACCGATATTTTTTTAATGGCTGCTACACATTCAAATATGAAAGTTGGATAGTTTTAAAACAAAAAGTTCATTTCTTACTTTGGGCCGCCCAGAGTTCACAATCAAATCAGACCTTAAGTTTGAATAACATAATATTACCTTGATGTTGTATAAACCACTAAGAAATCCTTTTATTACATTTAACATATAATACAACAACTTAGTCTTCAAGAGCTCATGCTCTACCTATCCTTATGCTTCTTAATTTGGGGACATAGAAAGAGCACATACTA